TAACCGAAGATGTGAGAACTCGTCGAGTCCCTCTGGTGACTCGGCGAGTCGAGAGGGTTTTCTCATTCACGGCCATGGGTTCACGACCAAGAGTTCACGGCCAAGGGTTCACGACCATGGGTTCACGGCTAAGAGTTCACGGCCAAGGGTTCACGGCCATGGGTTCACGGTCAGGGGTGTACGGTTGGTAGTTTACGGCCGTGAACATCAAGGAACCCGACGAGTCCCTCGGGTGACTCGACGAGTCGAGTAGTAAGCAGGGAACTCGACGAGTGACTGATTGTACTCGACGAGTCAAGGTCAATATGGACTGTTGACCTTGACTATAGACCTTGACTTTGACCAGGGTTGTCCCTGGGGGTATTTATGGGGTTCATGATGAGTTATTTACTCATTGAATATAGGAAGTTTGGGAAGAGCAGCGTGGGATATATATGTTTTCAGTTCGCCAGTTCAGCCTTTGAGAGGTGGGTCTTATCACCATACCCATGGGTCTAAGGCACCAAGGCCGGCCCATTATGTGATTATGTTATATGTGTTGGTCATTATGTGATTTGATATGATATGTGATTTGTTATGATGTGTGGTTGTGTGTTTTTGCATGGAAGACCCCGGGGGGAGCCCGTGGCATTGGATATAAGACCATGTGGGGTAGCCCATGGTATTCCTAGGTAAAGACCATGTGGGGAAGCCCATGGCATTGGATGTAAGACCATGTGGGGTAGCCCATGGCAATCCTAGGTAAAGACCATGTGGGGTAGCCCATGGCATTCTTACAGGTTTTATGTATGCATGGTTTATGTGTTATGTGCGTAGCTTTGATTAGCTAATAGGATATGTGTATGTGTGTGGTATGCTCTGGGGGAATCACTAAGAATTTTCTTATAGTTTGTGGATTTGTTTCAGGTTCATCTGAGTCCAAGGGCAAGGGCAAAGCCTGATGGCGCGGCGTGCACTCTCTCTCAGGCGATTTTATGGGACACAGGGATAATTGAAAATAAAGTTGTAATGAATATGGATTTGAAATAATTGTTTTGGAATTTCTTGATTTATGGAAATGTGTTTGGTTAATTAAAAATGAAAAATTTCTTTGAAAAAAAAATTTGGGTCGTTACACGTCTGAGTCTAACCGTTGTAGGGATAAGTCTCCTACTCGAAGGATTATCCGAGCCCTTGTCAAGTATAAGTGTTCTACAGGGATTAATGATCTGTGATTATGTTTCTCATGGGAATCTCAAGTATCAGAAGTTGAATAGTCAGTTAGGAAATTAAGTGGGGTGGATTTAGCAATGGTCCAGTATGGGTGGTCTGTCAGGGAGTCATACCATCTCGAGACTTCAGGACTCAGTTTGAGTAGATATGGTTATTTTGTAAGGGATAATTTTCAGGTAGTGAAATGATTTGTTCATTTGCAGGTTAGGGAGCCCTCCGAGGGATGGTTTCGGTTGCCTTAGGTAAGGCAGGGGTATGCTCGAGGTTGTGGTCGTGTTGCTCAGGTTGTTTGGCGTGTCGGTAATGGTAAGGATTGATTTCGAGGACAAAATCTATATTAAGTGGAGGAGAGTTGTAATACCCAGAATCTAGAAGATTAATTGTGGAAATAAATTCCCTTTCCTAGGGACCAACACGGCGAGTTGATGGTGGGAAACTCGACGTGTTTGAGGCTTTTGGGACGCGCGTTTTTATGGACCAACTCGGCGATTTGGTGAAGGGGACTCGACGAGTTGGACGCTGATTAAGAAACCCTAATTTTCAGGGTGTTGCACCCTATTTAAAGACCTTAAGTCCCTTGGCTGGCCTCCTTACCAGCCTCCTCTCTCCAGAAACCGTAAACTCGAGCATTGTCTTCCATTGTTGAGTGTGTAAGCTTGGGGAGAGCCCTGAGTGTTCATTTTTGGTGCATGTTGAAGGAGCTAAGGAATTAGGAGTTGCTTGGCTTGAAGAAGAAGTCTTGGATCTAGAATCTCTGTCTCATTTGCCAAGTTTTTGAGGTATCAAGTTCTCACCTTGCTTATTAGTTGCTTAGATCTCTTCTTGGGTTAGATCTTATGCTTTTAGCAATGGTTGGGTGGATGTTGGGGATTAGGACGTCCCAAATGCTTATTCTTTCATATCTAAGGTCTACATGAGCTCTTTTGGCATAAAGGTGCCAACTTTATGGATTTAAGGGCTTCATGCATTCATTAAGTCTTTCATTTAGCCCTTTTCGAGCTTTTGAGCTCCTCCTAGTCATGTTTAAGTGTAAAGTGGAAACTTTACGTGGCCATCTAGCCTTATAGGGTTAGATCTGCATTTTGGGGTTTTGTCTTTGATGATTAAGTGCTTAATGATTAAGCCCTCACTCTTTTAAGTCTAGGGTTTGGGTTTGGACCCATTTAGGTGGTTCCTAGGGGTAAAGTTGGAAACTTTACCCTTCTTGATCTTATTTTGGTCAAGATCTGAGCTTTGGAGCTCTTGGATTCAATGAAGGCAGCTTAATGCATTAAGTTGTTGGTTCTTGGGTGAACTCGGCGAGTTTGTTGGTCAACTCGGCGAGTTGACTTGGTTTTTCCCGATCTGTGCAGTTAATGGAGAAACTCAACGAGTTGAAGGACAACTCGACGAGTTGGGTCAACTTGGACCATTGACTTTGACTTTCGATTTATGTCATTGAACAAGTTTGTCCCAAGGGGTTCTTGAGGTAATCTGATTTGTAATTAAGGGAATTATGGGCTTAGGATAAGGCCCATATGGGGTTGGGCCCAATTTGGAAAATTGGGCCATTAGTGGGCTTTTATGGATCTAGTAGTTTTCGGTATTTTGGGCTTGAGTTATTAATGGGCCATCAGGATACAAAGTGCTTGGACTAGAAAGAATGGTTGGGCCTTAAGGCAATGCCATGTATGGGGTTTGGTCCTAATTTGGAAAATTGGGCCAATGGTTTATCAGTGGGCCTTTGGGACTTTCAGATTGTAGTTTGGGTCATAGATTTGGACAAGGCTATGTTAGGGGTAAAATGGTCTTTTTACTCTAGGTATGATGTTGTGGTTATGGATTGGAACTCAATTACTAATTGGGTGTTATTTTTTATCTGATAGTTCGGAGGTGTCATCAGGGCAGCAGCTAGGGAATTCTTTCAGTGAGCTTCAGCAATGCGAGGTGAGTCTCCTCACTATGTTTAGCGGGTCGAAGGCACCAATGCCGGCCCATGGTTATTATGTTAGGATGCCAGTTGTCTGCGTGACTCTTGCATGTGTATGTATTGATTTGTATGTGGGCGGGGCCTGATGATTGTGCAGTATGCTACTATCTTTGTGATTTTCGCATGTGTTTAAATGTTATATGATTATATGGTATATATGTTTAGTGGGCGGGGCCCGTTATACTAGTGTGGGCGGGGCCCGTATCTCATTGTTATGCGAGTGTGAGCGGGGCCGTTATGCGATATGTATGGTATGAGATATTTTGGGGAACTCACTAAGCTTTGTGCTTACGGTTTTCAGTTTATGTTTCAGGTACCTTGGTTTTCAAATGGAAGAGCTCGGGATGATTGCAGAGCACACACCATATGTTCTGCATTCTGTGATTTACTCTGATTCGATGATGTTTTCCTAAATCTTGATTACCTTGGTTTTATGTAACTGATATGTATTAACGATTTATTAATCTAAAAACGAAAATTTTATGTTATTATCAGTGGGACGTTACATAGAGGTACACCCGGTTTCACCTTACAAAAATGCACGGCCGTACTTCGTCAATTAGCATATGGCATTACGCCTGATGCATTGGACGAGAGTTTTAGGATGTCTGCTAGGACTGCACGAGATAGTCTCCACTATTTTTGCAAAACTGTGATTCAGTTTTATGGTCCAAAATATTTACGTAAGCCTACACGTAATGACATCTTACAATTGCAAGCTCATCATGCTAGTGTACATGGGTTTCCTGAAATGATAGGAAGTTTAGATTGTCTCCATTGGGCATAAGAAAATTGTCCTACCTCACACCATGGTCAATTTACCCGATGTGGTCATGGTCACCAAATAGTCATACTTGAAGCAGTTACATCACAAGATCTGTGGATTTGGCATGATTTTTTTGGTTATCCCGGTTCGATGAACGACATCAACGTTCTCAATCGCTCACCTATTTTTAACAACATATACGACGGATCTGCATCAGATTCTTCTTTTGAAGTGCATGGAACGCCATATAAATATGGTTATTATCTTGTTGATGGGATCTATCATGAGTATGTTGTGTTTGTTAAATCGTTTACGTGTCCACATGGTTCTAGACGAAAAAAATTCAAGAGAACTCAAGAAAGAGCTAGGAAGGATGTCGAGCGTGCTTTGGAGCTCTTAAGAAACGTTGGTTCATATTGAAAAACCAACAATTTATTTCGGCGAAGAAAAACTTCAAGAAATCATGTATACATGTCTCATATTGCATAATATGATTATTGAAGATGAAGGAATAGCGATATGTGCGTATAACGAGGAAGAAACCATACCCGATACACAACCAATAGAAATTGGTGGAGACGAGTATATGAACAGGAGAGCAGAGGTACGTTTCACTGAAACATTTCACAATCTTCGCATAGACTTGATGAAACACATTTATGGAATTCAACACATTAACCTTAATTTGGATCCACCGGATGACTCGGAAGATGAGTTCTCGGAAAATGACTTTATATAGTATGGTTTAGCTATTTTATTTGTGTTCTTTTAAGTTATTTTAATCGTTTGGTTTGATGTGTGTTTTTTAATGCAATGTAATGTTTTTTTATTTTTGAAGTAATGAAAAATTATGTTTTTTTAATTAAAAAATAAGATTTATTAAATTAAATTATTAGAAAAAAAAAATACAAAAAAAGTGTGGCACCACTCCTTGGGTGTGGCAACAAAACACATTTGTGTGGTAAAAAATGATGTGACGCATATGTGGCAGTGAAGGGAGTACGGTTTCGGTGGCACCACTCCCTCGAGCCTTATAATTTATACCCACCCAAAACAGCTCTCCACTCATTTGTTAGGAAAAGCAGATTCAGACAAAGAAAACAAAAACATGACAAGACAATATTAACCATTAGTTCTTATGAAACCACTTCAAGTTGAAAAATATCATCTCCGAATGAGGGTGAAAAAAATAATAAAAATTTAAGACACAAGAGATTGTTGTGTTGTGTGGGGCTAGGTGGTGAGCTCCATGATGGCACTGACTATGTCTCCATTGTGTGTCTTGAGAGCTTTCACAGCCTTTGGCTTTGACACGCCTGCCTGTGTCATGACCAAGTCAATGTCACGAGCCTCAACACCGGTTTCATCCACCTCCTCTTCCTCTTCCTCTTCCTCTGCTGCAGAGGCGGCAGAAACATCTGGTTTTGCCATAACAGAGCCCATTTCAGGCATTCTAAATTGCTGAGCCGCCTGTGTCTGGAGTTGTGAGCTAAGATCCTCAATCTTTGCCTCCCCAAATATCACATATGTTTCAGAGTTGGGGCTCTTAAACACATCTGGCTTTGAAATAAAAAACATCACCTGCAACATCCATAAATCATAAATCATAAATCACAAAAGCAAGCAACTCTTATAATTAAGGTGAAAAGGTGCAGCCAGCTGCCTTACATTTTTTGTTCTTTTAATGGTTACCCTGCTAACACCAACAAGAGGTTTCATCCCCAGCTTCAACATTGCCTTTCGACTCTTTTTCTCACTTCTGCTTTGTTTTGCACTGTCACCCCCACCTGCATATATCTTATTTATTGTAATCACTAACATTTACTTCCAAATCTCAAATGTCGGTTGCATCAATTCCAAAAATGCAACAACTAGAAACTAGAAACTATAAACAGAACGAAACGTCTCCAAAAGTGAATGTAACTCAAGGCATGGAGATGGAATATCGGGTGTTTCAGTTTCCATGAAGATTTTGCAATATCATATTGCACATCACTCAACAGGCATCCAAGACAATGATAAATATTTATAACGACCAACCAGAGGGCCTAAGACCTAAACCAATCCTACTATGTTATTTTGGGTTTTTGACTTTTTTCAACACCCTAATGAACCGACTGAAAGAAACAGGTCAAAAGCAGTATTTTTTTTCTTTTTACAGAATGAATAAAAAAAAAGGGGGGGGGGGGGGGGGGGGGGGGGGGGCAATCTATCTAAATAGGCGTATGCAAGGGTAACAATGAAGTAGAAATTCGAGAGATGTAACGACCTTGTGCACCGTCTTCCTGGTCGTCGTCGGAATCCGCATCAACGTCGTTGTGGTCATCTTCCTCGTTAACGTCCTCGATCACTGGGTGTTCGTCGTGCTATACAATTAGTTAAGGGAGTTACAGAGCTGAAGAATAGGCATAAACAACCAAATGAACAACAACTGATATACATAAACAAAGTACCTGGACATCCTTCTCGATCTGGATATCTTCGACGATAGGGCCCGGCATGCTTAATCAATGACTGCTGTTATTCTAGTGACGCCTGTATTGTCCGAGAGATGCAGCGATATCGGCTTGGTTAGAGATAGATTATATCATATTGAAAAATATTTTTATTTATTATAGGGTTCCTTACCCTTTGCCTTTATCGGACCTAGCCCAGTTCCGTTATTTTAAAATGTCCATCAACCAATTAGCCCAAAGCATCAAAGCATATTTATATGATTAATGTGATATTAGCCCAACCAATCCAATTAGCATCTCTCACTTAACAAATAAGACATAAACAGTAACTTTTTACTAATCGTTCATATATTTGTAAGACATAGACAGTAACTTCTTTGTAAGACATAGACAGTAACTTCTTACTAATCGTTCATATATTTTGTATGCCACATTTTGAATGTACAATTCATTTATGCATGACTTGTTACCTATGAGAAGTAATTTCCTTGATAATTCTCAATTCTCATTATACAACTTATATATATATATATATATATATATATATATATATATATATATATATATATATATACTAGTAGCGTACCCGCGCGATGCGGCGGCGACGATTTGTTATATTCCGACGATTAGTTTCCGAACGAAAATTAGTGTCGTTTCGGCGATTGTCAAATTGTTTCTTTTCGATTTGTTTCACTTCGATGACTTGTTCCTTTCAGCGATCAGCTGTCTCTAAACGGGCAGCAAATAGTGATTTACATCTATTACTTTTTATTTGACAGCGGATGACGCTTAGTTTCATTTAACGAATAATGTTATGATGATAAATTTTCATTTTATTTGTTTCATTTCGAATTGAAAATGTAAAAGTATGTTATATAAAATATAAAAATATTAAACTACGTTTAAAATAAATGATGTTATCTTTTTTGCAAGACTAGACATGACATGAATATGTGAAAAGTTAAATATTAAATTACATATCGTTTTTTCTTCTTTTTTTCATTCTTTTGCGTTTTGTACGTGTGCGATGCAGCGGTGATAAATAGTTTGTTTCATCTATTAGTTTTCGTTTCGTAGGCTTTTTTTGGAATACTTTATTTTCTAAGATTAGTTTTACTTTCAACCAGGGAGCTGATAATTTTTTTTCGACAGCATACATTACATTTTAAAAGCATCTACAAAGTTTTGAAAGTTTACTGCAGTTGATAATTAGCTAGGTAATTCACTTTATGTGGCCTATATTTTCAAACATTAAACTTACATTTTGGCCTTTTCTATGACGAACTATTTTCAATTTTTATCCTTATCAAAAATGAAAAATTACAATTTCACCCTTACTAAATAATTTAAGATATAAAAAGTTACAATTCGTAAGTTTTGAAAAGAAATTCCATAACACTATTTAAATATTAAATGACACTTAGTTTATTTATAATAGAATAAGTTCATAGACAATCAATAATATATCATTTAGTTTATAAAATATAACTTATTTATACATATATCATCCTCATATTTACATATAATCTTGTGAGTTTACATCTTTTTAGTTTTTGGCAAATTGGTTCTGTAAATTTTATATATACATTGTTACTGTAACTCATTAAATACTAAAATATTACATATATGATCCTCTCATTTATATAGTATTTTCAATTTACGTCTTTTTCTATAAGTTGGCTGTAGAATGTTGTCATTATACATAAATCGAATTTTGATATTTATCATAATATAATTATTTAATAAATTAGTTACAAATAAAATAAGGTTTTTTAGCGTATATCTTATTATATTAAATTAATAACATTTTATTCTACACCAAAAAAAACTCTACAAATACTCAAATATCTAAAAATCTGACAAAAAAAAAAAACTTGGATCTACAATTATATACAACCACCCCATTAAAGATCCAATATTGTGTCTTTTAAACGTTAATTTGCAGATCCAAACCTCAAAACATGAAACATAAAAACCTTATACATCAAGATCTAAAAACGTAAAACATACCATAAATTTATACTAACACAAAAGTTATACTTACAAAAACAGATGTACACAGAAACAGATCTACAACACGCCTGCATAAACACATATACAAAGTATTTAGCCGCCTGGAACAATTTTATTTCTATCATAGTATGGTCCGAAGGTGGAGGTAGCAGATATGAACGCTCATGATGAAAGTGATGGTGGCGGTATCGATTTCACATTTGGAACAACATGTCGAAATTGTTGATTCTTGTCGGCGACGTCTTAGGGTTTCAATAAGCACCACATTGCGGTGTCATGATCGGAGAAGTTGAAAACATGGCGACGCTTAGTGGAGGTCATGGTCGGAGATGAAAAATAATTGTGTTGCTGTGACCAGTACGACGCAAGGGTTCCTGATGTATATGAGCATAATGGCGTTGAAAAGTGATGCTTAAAGAAACTATCACGACGGCGTTAGGGTTTCAACAAGATGTTAACCATGGAATCTAGGTGTTTGTTGGCTGAGAGATAGTGGTTGTGGCATTGTTCAAAAACGGAGAAACGGAGGAGAGAGAATGAAACAGGCCACCATGGCCGATAGTTTGGGCAGAGGAGTTAGGGCTGATGGACTTAAAAGTGACAGAAAAACAATCTTGACTATTAAGAGAAAAAGGGATCGGGTGAATGAAAATGCTTCTGTGTGTTTCTATTTTATAAATGAGGGAAATGAAGAGATAATTTTAGTTTAGGGTCATATTGGGATGAAAGGCTATCAACCGTTCAATTGGTTGAATAATACATGTATGGCCAAGATCATGCTTCAAAGGATAACACGTTGGTGATCCGCGTGATACTCAAGAGTCTGTGCTTTTACTTCTTATGTGCATACCAGTTGTACTTCTTAGTCTTAATTTAATACTTTTATACTGAAACTACTTGTACAATTATGTATGCTTTTTAAACTATCCACTCTCATTGGTTAATAAAATTTCACACGGATAACCGATCAGAAAATCCTCACCGTTCACTATAGATCCGACGGTCCAAAACGTATTTCCTTGAATTTTAAGATAATAGGCTTTATTTGTTGTACCTTATGCTTTACAATTTGTAATTAAGACATTATTATGTATGGTTTATAATATGGTATATATATATATATATATATATATATATATATATATATATATATATATATATATATATATGATACAAAGATTACAACAACTAGCCTAAGATAAAGGGATTTAAAATAATACAAGATATATGCCTATCTGTTGTCATATTAACCTTTAATACCCCCTGTGAAGCTAAGGGACTGTTTGGCAGGATCTGAATTTTTAAGATCTGAATTTTTAAGAGGTCTGAATTTCTAAGAGGGTCTGAATCTTTAAGATCTGAATTTTTAACATGCTGTTTGGCTGGAACCTTTAAATTGTTGTGCTAAATTATAAAATGACCATTTTACTCTTCAGTGTAATTTTTTTGTTGAATTCAAAGTTTATGTTTATAAAATAACCAAACCAACTTCTTACATAATTATAAAAAAAAATATAAACACAATACAAAATCCAAATTAAATAAAAATCAAATCAAACATAAATATTTGACAAAAATCAAATCAAACAATGCTCTAATATAAAGAGGTGAAAGTATGGTGTTATAATAAATAAATCAATAAAAGTACATTGCTAATTCATGTATTTAACCCTTACAAAAACAATCTTACAATAGCTATGAAAACAACTTGAACTTTGTGCTTATATGGATCACATTACATGTATACAACCCTATTCATTCTTTGTGTTCCAAATCAATGATATGTGGTTAGCTACTGGTGATTGTCATGAACCTTTCTTGTCCAACAGTATCGCACTGCATAAACATGGAACATTCAACATTAGTTTCATACAAATATAATATTATATATATTTTCAGAAGAGTCATAAAAGGAACATTCAACATTAGTTTCATCCAAAGTTCCAAATGCTCAAGGTCAAACATCAAAAGGAGCGATTTTGACAAAAAAAAATCATAGCCTTCATCCACCATCATCTTGACCAAAGTTCATGCATAATTGCTAGATAATGGTGCACCATCACTTATGTATCAAACTCCATATGATATGAATAATATCCCTAGCTAAAAGTTTGAAAAAATCCTTTAAAGAACAACATACTTTTCAAACTTGATTTTTTAAAGTTCACAGTTCAAATATATAGTTTCATTCACCAAACATATGTATCTTTGTGGTCTATTTCAGATTCACCAAACAATTGGTTGTTTTATCATCTTCTATCTTAAGATTTCAAACAATATTCATATTTTCTTGAACCATGATACTAGTAATTACAGGTTTTATCAAATTTTATCATCTTCTATCGTAATATAAACAATTTGAGACACAAATCTTGAAACAAATACATGTATCCTATGACGATCCAGTACAGGAGCGGGCATGAAATACAAAGAAAATCAAAATAGAGGACTGATAATCGAGTTCTAGGGCAAAAAAAAGAAGAAGAAGAAAACCATATATTTCTAAGAATCGGTTTTCAGGTACCTGCCAAAGAGAAACAAGTTTGTGTCTTTGTGATAGTCGATTATCAGACTCTTTGTGATAAGTGGATCAAGCCTGCATATTCAATCAATACAAAAATCACACCATATCAATCAATAAGAAACTTGCATAATTAATCAATCGATTATCGGAAGTTAGAGCTCAGATTAAAATCAAAGGAATTATTCATAAAGGAAGAACGAGAATCGGACCTGCAACCAAAGCTGGAGGCGGAGCTGCTGCAGGCGAAGGTTGCGTCGAGGTGTAGTCGGAGGTTGCGTCGAGGTGTAGTCGGAGCTGGAGGCGAACTTTCGTTCCAGACGCTGGCGGCGGCGGCGTTTCAGGCGTCGTCGTCGGGGAGCAGCTTCGCCGCGTATCGGGGTGAAGGGAAGAAGAACGCACAGAGGGAGGAGAAGAGGAGGCGTGTTTTGGTGAAGGGTCGATGTCTAGGGCATAATAGGAACGCGTCTCTTTTTTTAAAATTCAGATGTTGTTTAATATCTGAAAAATTAAGAGGTATTTACAATTTTAAGAGGTAAAAAATAAGGGGAAAACAAACAATTTGAATCTGAATTTT